ATCTTTCTTGCCTACACAGTTAATCTAGAACAAGTTGCTTGGGTATGAATGTACATGGGTTCTTGTGATAATTTGCTTTTCACCTACAATATGTTAAGTGTTTAATTATGTAAGGGGTATGGAAAACATACTTTTTATTTGTATTTATTGTATTCCTTCATTTGAAAAGCAAAATATAACCCTAATGTAATTTTTATATTGCCTGAAAGATTGCAGGGGTACATAAGCTGTAATGATAAGAATAAAGATAATGTTAAAGTGAGTTATAAGGAAAACACCCAAAAATAGTTAGAATGAAAATATTTATAAGATAAAATTAGGAAGAGAGCATCAGGATAGTTAGAAAGAGAAGGAAAACATCAAGAGATACAGAAGGGACAATGCTGGATAGAGATAAGGAAAGAGAATATAGAATACACAATGAAGAATACAGAATAAAGAAGGAACTACCAATAGAGTGTGTCATAGTCTTTTTCCCTTAACCCCTTAAGTTAGAAAAGTCTAGTACATGTCCCAAATTGCTTCCCTTTAATTTCTGTGCTCTGGGGGATGGCACCTAGGCAACAGAATCACTATGTAATTTAGATTCAAGCTACATAAACTGTGGTAAAGGAACTGTGGCTTAGGAAGTTGAAACAAATTGAAATGTGCTGGAAATTTTAGATGCAGTCCAAGATCAGAATATACAAGAATCAAAATTTAATTAAAAATCATGAGCAATGGATTTGAGATGTTGCTGACAGTACTTCTTTATAATGTGACACTTCACTGTTATCTTGTTGAAAGCCGCCAAACATTACCTGTGTAACTTACCTTAGTGTTGAGGCCATTGTATATTATTTGAGAAGAAATATATTGGTTTGTTCACAGAAAACAGACTTATTTCCTTTCATTTCTCATGATGAAAGATGCCAATTAACATAGTTTTAAATCATAGATCATCACTACTATGTCTAATTTAAAATTTTTCTCTTTGAGGTACCAAATTGAATTTCATAAAAATTTATTCAATGATTAAAGTAGGGGACCCAGATCTTGCAACACAGGGCAGGTAGGAAGACCACCAGCTCAGTAAGGTCTACATCATCAGCAATCATAGGAAAACATTCATTACTGTTGCCTACACACAGTTGAACTTTGAGGTCAAGGGTGCTCTCACTAATCTGGTGGGAGCTATTAGGACCAATTACAATGACAAATATAATCAAAATTGGACCATTGAGAAGGGAACATACTGGGTTCTTATCTGTGACTCTAATTGCCAAGCTGGACAAAGCAAAAGCTAATAACATACAAGTAACCTATATTAAGTGTGCAATGCTATGATTTATGTACATACATATAAATTACAAAATTAAAAACAATAAATGGGTAGTGGCAGGGAAGAATCTTACTTTCTACAAAATCTTGCCAGTATTTGTTATTTGTTACTGAAACACCATACATTCAGCTGACATTTAGCACCTCATTATGACTTTGAGCTGCAATTTTCATGACCGTAGTTGCCGTTGAAAGTATTTTTATTTAGCTTTTTGCAGAGTGTTATGTCTTCTTTTGAAAACCATACATTCAACTTGGCAGTTATTCAATTTTTATTTTTATAAATTTATATCTAAGAAATTTGAATATATTTATCATATACCATTTTTATTTTGTACATCTATCTAGTAAAATGTCTAATTCAGGTTTAAAATATTTATCTTCTCAAACACTTATATTTCTTTAGTTGTTGATATCCCAAATCTGTACTGTAACATTTTAAAAAGTGTTGTACATATTATGTAGAGACAGAATAATACTGGTCTTTGTATATTTGAAATTTTGTCAATAAAGACTTGTTCTCATCAGCTCTATCCATGTTTATGTCCTCAGAGCCTTTTCTTCTAAGAGAAACAAACAACCAAAAAAAAAAAAAACATTAAAATGTTTGTATTGAACAGTAGTAATCTCTATAAAGCACAAAATAGCTGATCACTAAAAGCACTCTTCATCATCAAAAGCAGTGTCTCAGGGAAATTTATCAAATAGATATAACAATAATTAATCAATAGAATTTGTCTAATTTTCTATACTATGTTTGTAAATTTGGCATCCTTTTCTGGTTTCTAGCTATTGGTGAGGGGACCAGCACTCGCATGAATATACATTTATGAATAGACACAAACACATTCTAAAAAATATTTTTAAAAAGAAAGACCACTAATGATAGTGGGATAAATGACATAGAGAGGACAAGATAGACACATGGTTACGGGGTTATCACATGATCTGAGTGTGCAAGAGTGGAGCTGGGTTTCTGATCTTAAAGATGAAGATGGAAATCAAAATTCATATTCCTAAATCTCACTTATATCCACTCCAGCAGGCATATGTGCAAATTCCCCAACTGCCATTTATCTTGGAAACTAAAAGTTAATAGTCTTAACCTTCTCTGGACAAATGTAATTTATGGTTATTACCTGAAGACCTCTTAGTGGACAATAAATTGCTGCTATGGACTTACAAAATGAAGTCCTTCTTCCTTAAACACCATGGCAAGTCTACTGTATGGTTGAATATAATTTTCTCCTTTCCCAAAGGGTCTAGGCTAAGACAAGACATCAGGTGAGATAACATATTTTCTTTTACACATAACAGCTTTCTTCAATCCATTCTTTCTCTTAATTTCCTAAAATGGCCTTCTCCTTTAATCTGATTGGTGACTACCATAATTGTCATTGTAGAACTTTCGTCCAGTAACTGATGGGAGGAGATGCAGAAATCCATAATCAAGCAGTGGACTGAGCTCAGGAGTCCAATCCCAGGGATGGAGGAGGGATTGTTTGAGAAATGGGGAGGGGGTCAAAATCAGGATGGGGAAACCCACAGAGATATCTGATCTGATCTTGTGGGAATTCACAGACTCTAGAACAATAGCAAAGGAGCCTGCATGGGACCAACCTAGGCCCTCTGCATGTGTGTAACAGTTCTATAGCTTGGTCTGTTTGTGAGAACCCCAGCAGTAAGATGAGGTTCTGTCCCCTGGCACAAGAGCAGCCTTTCTGGAACCTATTCTCTATAGTGGGATGACTTTCTCAACTTTGATGCAAGGGGGAAGAGCTTGGTCCTAGCTCAATTTGATATGCCATGATTTGTTGAGTCCCTTTGGAGCCTTGTCATTTCTGAGGAATGGACAGGAGTAGAAATGAGGTGGGGGAGGAAACAGGGGGGAAGAGGAAGGGAAAAAACTGTGTAAAACAAATAGAAAAACTTAATTTAAAAAACATTTACAATTCGTTTAAAGAGTTCTCAAATATAGACAAGGAATTTCTTATATAGAAAGGATTAGAAAGAGTGAAACTCCAAGTTCTGGCTTATATTCCTGATTGAGTTTAAAATAAGGATTAGTAAAAATGTCCCCAAATGCAACAGAACTATATTTTCATTGTAAGTGGTAGTCTCAAGTCACAAGGATTTGTCCTATTTTACTGAGGATACTATCATGGCCCTCATTGTAAATATGTTACCAGAAGACATTTAATATGTTCCTTAGGGATCAGTCTCACTACCCATATCACCTTCTAGACCTGTGTCTAAATTTATGTCTACTTTAAAATGTAACCTGTGAACTGATATATTATATAACAAAGGCCTGTATGACTAGACTAATTTATCCTGAAACTTGTAATGATGAAGAAACATCTACAAGTTGTATCAGATTAACTTTATTGATACATACATGGTAGGTTAATATCCATCATTAACTGCTGCATCTCAGGCATTGATGCATGGCTTTGTCAAAGTATGTGGCAGAAACATGACCAAAAGCTTGTCCACAGTGAGTAAAAATGTATAAACATTTTTTAAGTATGAATATAAAAAACAATTAAAGAAATAGAAAACAAATCAGAAAAGTGGGTGGGAAAATCTGTAGAAAGGAAAGGAAGGAGAGGGAAATGATGTAATTATATTTCACTTTCTTAACCATTAAAAAAATATGGTTGGGTAAGATGGCTCAGTATGAAAAGCTGCTTGTTAGGCAACCTGGTAAATGGTGTTTGATCTTTGGAACTCACACAAAGTTGGAAGGAGAGAACTGACTCTGTAGAAGCCAGAAGACTTCAAAAAAAGCAACATGGAATGCATGTCAACTGATGTGTTTACATTCACACACACAATAATAACAATAAATACAACTGAAAGATTAAAAAATAAAAAATAAGAAAGGATGGATAATTTTGCGATAAATTATCATTTAACTCCTTCACCTAAACATAGGAGAGACTAGGGCATAATTTTTATAAAAACTGTAAACAAATTTGTGAACGAGAAGAGTGATACCCTGAATAGTTCTCTAATCATGATTCTTTTTTAGTCAGCCCCTATCATGGGAAAAGAAAGTCTCTGAATTGGGAAAATATCTATATTAAGTTACTATTGAAATTTTTGTTTTTTGTTTTTCCAGATAGGGTTTTCTTTTGTATTGTTTTGGAGCAAGTCCTGGAACTCATTGTACAGAGCAGGCTGGGCTCAAACTCAGAGATCTGCCTACCTCTGCCTCCTGAGTGATGGGATTAAAGGCATTAGACACCAATGCCCAGCAAGTTACTATTGAATTTATAGGATAGCAAAGGATATCTAGTCAGGACTTAAATTCCAAATGCATTATTTGTGTAGTTATATAATATACAACATTGAAAGGAGAGGCTAGAAATTTCTGACATGAAAAAACTTTATAAACATACCTCAGATGGAAGCTTTTCTAGAAGAAAGGAAATAGTCAATTGGTACTTGGCATAAATCAGAGGCTGGGTGTGGGTGTGTTGTTTGGATGATGTATCTGTTGTCACAATTAAATAGCCTGAGTTAGGCTCTTCTAATTTTAGGCCTTCATTTTTGCTTCTCTCAGTGCAACACACATTTAGCACTTATTTATTTTTTCATTGTGTAAATTCTTCCATAATTGAGATCATACAAACTATCCATTCCCTTCTTTCTTCAGTACTTCTGAAGTTGCAGGATTATTTGTGATCTGACTGAATCTTTCTACTAAAGAGTCTCTTAATGGCATTTTTCATCTGACTATTTCTCAAGGTGTAGATTAATGGATTTAGCATGGGAGTTAAAACAATATAAAATATACCAATGGTTTTATCAATGGGTAATGAACCTGCAGGTCTCATGTACTCAAATATGCAGGGTACAAAAAATAAGACCACCACTATCATGTGAGAAACACAGGTGGAGAGGGCTTTACGCCTTCCTTCTGCACTGTGGGCCTTTAGGGAGCACAGGATGACTATGTAGGAGATGAGTAGAATGAGGAATATTAAAAGACAGATGAAACCACTGTTGGCAGCAACAAAGAGCCCTAGAATGTGGGTATCAACACAGGCTAGATCTAGCAAAGGGTTGAGATCACACATAAAGTGATCTATGACATTAGGGCCACAGAAAGGTAGTCTAATAATGAAAAGAATTTGTATACCTCCATGAAGAAAGCCTCCAGCCCATGACACTCCCAGAAGTAAGTTACAGAGTCGTCTGTTCATGATGGCTGCATAGTGCAGGGGTTTACAGATGGCAACATAGCGGTCATAGGCCATGACACTAAGTAAGATGATCTCAGTACCTCCAAAGAAATGTTCCCCAAAGACTTGGATCATGCATCCATTGAATTGAATGGACTTCCTTTCATGGAGTGAATCAACAATCAGCTTAGGAGTACTAACAGAGGAGTAGCAGGCATCTATGAAGGAGAGATAGGCCAGAAAATAATACATAGGGGAACCAAAGAGTTGGCTGTTTGTAATGGTGATCAGAATGAGCATATTTCCAACTACAGAGACTATATAAATGGCCAAAAACACAGGAAATACAATTTTCTTCAGGTGTGGGTTCTGTGTGAGTCCCAGGAGAATAAACTCAGTCACATTGTTTCTGTATTCCATCTAGTGCATGAGACAGTTAATCGTATTTCCTGGGGAAAATAATATACACTGATGTTTATTTAATTTCTTTATTCTAATAATTAATGCTTAGATTCTGTTAATTAATAAAATAAAACCAGATTTTTATTGTAATATTGCAGAAAAACATAGTTCCAGATACTTACGTCTACTTATGACCATAGAGTTGCCTCCTCAGAGATGATAGCTGAAAAGATTATGGAGATGAACAATGGGTAGAAACATAGTATGAAATCATATGTGCTGAAAGTTTGGAATGACTCATAGCCTAGGAGTAGTTCAGATTAACCTCCTAGAGGCAGTTAAATCCACAACGGTTAGTGGAGTGTGCAGTAGTCGTGTGAAACAGCCTTTAAAGCAAAGGTAAATTTTCTGCAGTTTTTACATAAGAAATTGACAGCCAAAAAAGTTAAATCAGTTTTGAGTGGGAAGTTATTAGTGAATTCGAGTAAAATAGAACCTTGGACACTAATATCATGAACTGATGTTTGTGTTTGTCCTTGGCTAAAACACACTGCCACTCATTAGTCAGTAATAGCTAGAGAAGCTAACAGCGTTAGAAGCTTGTGAAGGAGGTCCAGTAATAGACAATTAATACTAGCATTTTTTAAATTGCTTGTGAAAATACAAATGATTTGAAGTAAGTCCAAATTCCATATGTTATGTAGAATTATATGGACACTAAAATGCAAAAAAACCAAAACAGAAATTGATACAAAAAATTCAGGGGAAATGGTGTTGAGGGTATAGTGAAAGTACTTTTGTGTTATTGTAAAAGACCCCATAATGCTTAAGTCTGTGTGATAATTTTGAAATAGTCTATAACAAGACTGTGTTCCTGCACTGGTTACTAAGTACCTTGCACAGAGGACTGCTTTTAGTACTTTAAATATTCTGCAATATTGTTTTCTTTATCAAGTTAGAAAAAAGTTCTTCTGTCAATATACAAGATCAAGAACATTAAATGAGATCACTAAACACTGTCAACTAAGGCTGTCAACAAGCACTTGCTGGTTCAGTTCTTCATATACAGCACACAGATTGTTGTCATCATTTTCCTACTTATTTTCATGTTTCCTTCTTTGTAATATGATAACAGAGAAATTATTCTTTCTTCCTCAGATAAGCAGAAAAATTGACAGTGTTATTGACACTACATTACTACTTCTAGTTGTTTTTATCCCCCAAATATTAGAGTATTATGCACTCCAAATCATTGAACTATATAACCCATATTATCATGTTAAACATATTATCATGTTTACAATCTCTACAAAGTATCTTAAATAATACATAATGATATACAGCTATAACATTTCAGAAATGATTTCTTTTGATGCAAAGTTATAGAAAGGCCAATTTATGAGATGATATATTTGACATTTCCTTTAATAAAAAACCGAGTGTTGCTGTGTTATTGGAAGGGCTATTTCATCTTAGCCTAGTTTATGTCACTCTTACTGTATATCATTATATAGTAGATGTTACCCAACATTTGGGGACACTATGGAAATGTACTGCAACAGTGACTAAGTACATCAATTAAAGAATTGTAAGAACCAAATGAGAGTTCTGATTCTTCTTGTCACACACCTGGTGTTCATTTCCTGGCACATCAAACACCAGCTTAATCCCCCATCTATAAAATGACAATAATAATAAGGGTATTACATAATTTACTATGAGAATCTTCCCAAATGGGAAAGCATGCATCATGATTTGGGAACAAGTACCTGACTAGAATTTGTTTTTTAAAGCATGAGGACAAGATAAACATGATTTATAACTTGGCAGCAATAAGGAGAAAAATTTAACCTTCCAATTACTTAGGAAATTCTTTTTAGTACTTTAGAAAAGCTACAGAGACTTGTAGTAGCCATAACACAAACCCCAAAATTAATTATGTGTGTTTGTTATAAGCTTATATTTACTCACTAAAATTTATATTTAGGATTTTCAATGTGTGGTAAAGATAAACTGTGCTGAACCTCTTGATTTAGCCTTAGTTGCTAAAAGAGGTATCTCAGGGTAAAACAATGATAGGTGTATCTAATTCATCTTTGTGTCATATTGTCTGACATTAAATATATGAAGAATACCAAACATTATGAAAAGTTAGAGTAAGGATGAAATACTCTCTTATTTGACAAACTATGAAAAATAATCTCCTGTGTACAATATGTCACAGTATCAACTAATCATCAGCTGTGTTGAAGGACATACCTCAGCAGATGTAAATCTCAATGTGAGCTCTTGAGTGTTCAGAAGAGACGTGAGAGGATGGGCTTTCAGTATGAAACCTTGACACCTTTTCAAGTATGCAAATAACATGTATTAAGTGTATCAAATAGTGTCTCCACAGAAAAATCCTTCCCTCTTTCCTGAGTGTAAAGATGTTTCACTGACACTTGGGTTTGGATCTAGAATGGATTCTTTTAATACACTATATAAAGATGATCTTTGATTTCTGATTCTGTTCCTTCATTGTTAAAGCCAGGGCCTGTCAAGGTTGCAGAAAAGCCTCCATAATATCCAATCTACTCTTGGTGAGTCTTGCAATGGATGTACGGTGTACAATGAGACAACATTTGTATCCTGCATAACAAGGGTATTTAAAGAATTCCCCACAAATTTCAACACTCTTGTTATTGTGCTTTCTCTCCCAGGAATTAATTATCTCCTTTGATGGAAAGGCTTCTTAGAATCCAGTGGTTTGGAATATATTTGTGACTCACACACTGTTCAATGGAGAATAGAATTCCCCAAGCATGGAGACACAGCATGTAGCAGATTCATTTCTCTAACACTGGTTAAAAAATTCTGAATACCATGTCAGCCACAGTGTCTTCATTCAAGCATGAACAATAGGAATGCAGGTTCTCATGTGAGAAATACGAC